AAACCCTAAACCCTAAACCCTAAACCCTAAACCCTAAACCCTAAACCCTAAACCCTAAACCCTAAACCCTAAACCCTAAACCCGAAACCCTAAACCCTAACCCTAAACCCTCAGTCAGGGGCCCGGTCCTCTGTCAGGGGCCCGGTCCTAAACCCTAAACCCTAAACCCTAAAGCCTAAACCCTAGAGCCGAAACCCTAAACCCTAAACGCTAAACCCTATAATTATTATCATAATGTGAGTTTATTAGAATGCTAGAATGTTGCTCGGCCTCTTTGTGGGCTTATGCAATTTGATCCTAGTCTAAAGAGGGGCTCGAGCACTGGGAGTACACGGCCTACAATGCGAACCCTGCTTCTGAGGCGTCTTTCTACTCTCTACTTCTGCTGTCTTCTCTTGGCTTCCTCAGCCTCAGTCAGGAGAGTTGCCTCTCCTCACCTTGGCCTTCGGTCACCACCTACTCTACCTCCATTCAGCTTCCTCAGCCTCAGTCAGAAGAGTTGCCTCTCCTCACCTTGGCCTTCGGTCGCCACCTACTCGTCCTCCATTCAGCTTCCTCAGCTTCAGTCAGGAGAGTTGCCTCTCCTCACCTTGGCCTTCGGTCGCCTCCTACCTTCTCTCCTTACCTTGGGCTCAGCTCAAGCTCGGTACGGGCTCGCCCCGTCTTCTTCCTCGCCCTCGCCTTGCTCTTCCTCCATGTCTTCCTCTTCTTCGTCATCTTCCCTCATCTCCACTCGCAGTCGGTCCTTCTTGTCCACCTTCAGCGAGCAGGCCAGCACATGCATCTCTGCGAATTTACTCAGTGCTATGAACAGGAGGCTAAGAGATCGACGCTCTATGTCGTCGCTCTCCGCCTCCTGCTCAAGCTCAGCAGCTGCCGTTGCCCGTGGCGAGAACGCGCTGCCCCTCCTTGCCTTCTTGCTCTCTCCTTGCACGCGAGTCCAGCGCTTGCTCTGCAGCCACTTCCCCAGCTTCTCCTTGAGCGCGTTGCGTCCCACTCCCTGCTCCTCTGGCGTCTTCGCCCACTCTCCCAGCGACATGAACTCCAGGCTCCCCGGAGAGTAGAAGGTGTCGTGGAGGTTGCCAACGGCCTTGTCCAGGACCAGCTTGATCGGCTCGCTCGTCCCTGCCTCGTTCAAAGAAGCTGCATCTTCGATGACTGCTGACAGCTCGCTGACGAGCTGCATGTCCTCTTGGCTTGACGGAGATGCTGCCTCCATTGTGATCCTCTCCAGGTCTGTAAACTCCAGCCACTCTCCCTCGCTCTCCTCCTGTCGCTGCACTGCGTCGCTGGTGCCCCGCTGACCAGCCGCCTCAGAGTCAGGCTCCTTGTCGAAGCCAACTGCTTCGAGCTTGGTTGCTGCGCCTTCGAGATAGAAGGGCAGCTCCTTCATCATGCGTCGAGCATCCTCCGTGGAGCCAAGGAGGATGCATAGCTTGGACCCGTTCCAGGACTTGGTGTTCAAATCCTCCTCCATGTCGATGCCTTCAACGTTGATCTCGAGCCTGTTAGCGATCTCCAACAAGACTCTCTTGACTCTTGCGATAGACGTGTTGCCGCCGTTGCACAGCCCCTCCATCTCCTTCCTCGTGAAGCGACCAGATGCCGCCGTCGACTTGATGATGATCTTGATCTCCTTGCCGTCCTTGCCGCCTGCATTCTTCTGCATCCTTGATGCCTTCTTCAACTTATTTCTGGACACAAAGCGATCAGCTGTCAACTCGACTGCGAGCGCCTCTCTGATCTTCGGGTCCTCGCTGAACAGAGTCAGGTGTACTCCCTCCATCGCTTCGCTCTCTCGGAAAGCTCGAAATGCTGTATCATTCGCCTCTGGGCAGCTCGAGGAGACGATCCACTCCACCTCCCTCTGTCTCCAGATGACGTTGGCCCCTACAGCGATGAAGCCTTTCTGACCTAAGCCTTTGTGGACTTGCTGTCCTGGCGCCCCAGCGACCAGCATGCCTGCCAGCGGCTGGAGTTGGACCGCTGCAAGGGACTGGCGCAGCAGCTGATAGCGATAGACGGCAGCTATCTCAGCCGTTGTCATGCCGCCCAAGGTTAGCAGGTGAGTCAGCTCTGCCAAGCTGCCCCCTTTGCCCCAGGGTCCTCTCTTGGCTCGAATCTTGAAAGATCGATCGTGCACGATGCTCACATGTACAGCTGTGAACTTGCGACCATCGATCGCGAAGTCCTCTCTTCCCTGCCAGAGCTTCTCCGCTTGTGCATTGCGGAGGAAGGAAACAGTCACCGGGATCTCCTCAGCACTCGCTATCTCGGGTCTATACGGAGCCTTCCACATGATTGCTTTACTCTCTTGCACTGAGTCTACGATCAGTCCGATCTCTTCAAATTTCTTCTTCAGCTTCTCTTCATGGTTGACATACACCGAGGAGATGCCCAGGAGAGTCATGGAGATGAAGGAAGTCACCTCGTTGCCTGCTGAGGCGGTGTATGTCTCGACCTTCTCCTTCTTGGCTTCTTCAATCTGCTGTATAAACCATTCTCTGGATGCGTCACTCCATCCAGTCATCGCTTCTTGTAGAAGCTCACGTCGTGCCTGCTGACATGTCGAGCGGATGGCTTCTGCGATAGCGTCGGGGGTGCATCCCTCCACAGCCTTGCAAGCCTGGGCTGTCCTGCTGTTCGGATAACGCTTCGCGAAGCTCTTCACCCTCTCGACGAGATCAGCTTCGAGGACAGAGGCATCCACAAGTCCGCTCTGCGTGTATTGGCATGATCTCCGATACAGCAGGTTGCGAACATTTTCATCATACTGAAGAACCATACTTAGAAAGCTATTTGAAGTATACAAACCTCTTGCTTGCAGCTTCCTTGGCGCCCTGGCAGCTTCCCCTACACCTGACGAGGAGCCATGCTGCCGAAAATAACGGCCCTAAACCCTAAACCCTAAACCCTAAACCCTAAACCCTAAACCCTAAACCCTAAAGTGCGATTGCGATGCGGGATACACCAAAGGACTTTCGGACTCGAGCTGTGTGAACGTCAACGAGTGCCTCAACGCCTCCTCCGTGTGCCAGAACAACAGCGCATGCTTCGACACCGTCGGCAGCTTCTACTGTGTGTGCAACCGTGGCTTCAGCACGGAGCCGTCGGGGCTCTGCCTGAACATCGACGAGTGCCTGCTGGAACCGGCGCCCTGCGACCCGATGGCGGTCTGCACGGACACGCAGGGGAGCTTCACCTGCACCTGCCCGGCGGGCTACAATCTGTCGCAATCCAACCGCTGCGTCGATGTGAACGAGTGCCTGGGATGGAACAACTGCAGCATAGACGCCGCCTGCACCAACACGGTGGGCTCCTACGAGTGCTCGTGCAATGAGGGCTTCCGTGGCCCCGGGACGTACTGCGAGTGCGCGATCTGTGCCCACCCCACTCGTCCTCCCCGACCAACGCCATGACGGATTATTTCTGCGACTGCTTCGCTGGGTACTACGCCACGAGCTTCTTTCCCAAGGTGTGCGAGATCTGCCCTCCCGACCACTACTGCAACAACCAGCAGATGTACAGCTGCCCGACAGGGTCGTTCAGCGTCGCAGGGCAGGGTTCCAAGTACGGATGCATGTGCAAGCCAGGGAATTACTTTGTCAACGATACCGCCTTCTGCTACGAGTGCCCGTACGACTTCTTCTGCGGTGGCGGGTACACCGAGATGCATCCCTGCCCCAACGGCACGTACTCGAAGAGGGGCATCTCGAAGGTGAGCGAGTGCGCCTGCAAGCCAGGGACCTATCTGCTGCCCAACGGGGAGTGCTACCCGTGCCCGGAGAACTACTACTGCGCTGGGTCCATCGACCCCGCCGTGAGGTAGGGTTCACAACTCGGGAAGAACCTGAACCTAATTAACATTCCCTGCCATCGTCACATCTGGAGGAATGGCAAGCCTCCGAAAGTTGGTTGCTGAGAAGAGTGTCATGCAATATTGCCTAACATAACTTCATGCACATCACCTCAGGTGAAAGAAGATCCATATGTCATTTCAATTTCGCTCCTCTTCTGTTTCCGTGCAGATGGGAGGGGGACTGTATTCCTTCCACTTCTGTCGCCCTGGCGATGCATGCGATGCGATGCATGCTGTTATGAACGCTAAAATCTGATGGTTACGTGAATAGGTCGGCTAGAGCAGTATCTGCATGAAATATTAGCATAGCGAAGTGAGAGTCATCTAAAGTTGCATGCAAGTGGGAACATACCTTGAGGGAGGAGCATGAAGGAAAGACGCTGGACAGTGCCATTCCGTTCCAATCCCCTTCTGGAATCTTTAGTACCAGGGCGTTTTGTTTGTACTGCCCTTAAAATACTTATTCCAAAGCGTTGTGGTATTTGTACGGAGGTCCTCAGGGCTCCCCATACATGAGGTTGTACCACAAAAGTCCCTCATTTTCTGTGAGGTTCGCATGGGTGGTTTCAGATAGTTTAGAGAACCCGTACGTTTCCCTCCGTCAGAGTCAGGGTGGGGTGGATCGGATTCAAGGGAGGAAGGATGAAATCTTAAAAGTATGGGCTCTCCGTACTGGAATTGGCGTCGAAAAGTATCATATTCGATTACCGGTAAGTGGTCAAACAGCACCCACCCCTGTGGTCCGTAGCTCAATGACCCTCTCGCAAGGGAAATTTGAATCAAATTACTTTGACCAAAGCTAGTACCCCCTACCTTTGAAAAAGCCTGAGTAGATGGAAATCGGAAGGTAGGGGTGGGTCTATTCCTCAACCCCACACGCCTTCTGCTTGAGCCACGACAAGGAGCGATGGCCATGATACCATGAGGACGTGTTGCAATCGAATCTTCATGCGTGTATGCTTCGAATCATGTTGTATTGTTGCATAGATACAAGAAGGGTCTTGAAAAGAACCTACCTTGCATGAATGCAGCTCTGTTGTGGTGATGAACCAAGTGCAATGGATTCAAACTTCGATGTATGTCAACGCTTTTCGAAGTCAGGGAACTT